GGGGGGGGGCTTCGTGCCTGCGCAGAAGCCGCTGCTTGTGAAGGTGTGGCTGGCCATCCACTTGATCGAGTCTATTTTAAGTTAAATAACCTCCTTAACTTCCGGTCTCTAGTAATGAGTATTATTACGCAACAGTCGTCAAAAGACAGAGTGATACAACAACGTGAGTTTAAAAAATGCAAATTTTATTATTAGGAGCCCCCGTCGTTTGAGTTCGGCGCGGAGAGACTTTCGCGACACCCTGTACTTTCACGTGTGGGGGCTTGGTGCTTGCGCAGGAGGAATATTTGTTTTTGTTCTCTAATCCTGAAATTTAAAAGGCAACCCTGGTACTACAACGTGAGTAAAAAATGCAAATTTTATTATTATGATCCCCCGTCGTTTCGGCTCGGCGCGGAGAGACTTTCGCGACACCCTGTACTTTCACGTGTGGGGGGGCGTGGTGCTTGCGCAGGAGAAACCGCTGCTGGTGAAGGTGTGGCTGGCCATCCACTTGATCGAGTCGCTGGGCGCGCTCGGCTTCCTCTTCGTCACCGTATTCTCCCTCACCGCCATCGGCTTGGGGGACCTGGCCGCCGTCATCCTCTTCATCACCCTCATCATTCTCGGTAAGTCAGTTTGCTGCAGTCATTCACTGCTACTAGGAGTCGGTTTGCGGCAGTCACTCACTGCTATTAAGGATTCCGGGAGCGCCAACAGCTAAGGTCGTTAGTCCCGTAAGTGTAGTGAATATTATTGCTTGGAAAGTGGCGGTGATTAATTACAAGTGATTCCGGGCGCGTCAACTGTCAAAGTCATCAGTCCCGTGCGTGTAGAGCATGTTTTTTTTCGCTTCGAAGCTGGCGGTGATTTTATTAATAGTTATTCTGGTCGCCTCAACTGCTAAGGTCATTAGTCTCGTAAGTGTAGTGCATGTTTTTACTCGGAAGATGGAATTGCAATTAATCACCGACAGCTAAGATTATTAGTCCCGTAAGTGAAGTGAATATTTTGCTCGGAAAGTGGCGGTGATGGATTACTCGTACTAGTGATTCCAGGCGCGTCAACTGCTTAGGTCAATAGTCCCGTAATTGGAATTTATGATTTTGTCGGGAGGTAGCGGTGATCTTGCCCCGCTGTAAGATGAGATCTGGCGCTGACCTACCGTCAGTTGGCATGGTTTTTCCCAAACAGGTATCCCCCAACAGCGGACGAGACAAGCTCCGCGCTCCTGACCGGTCTATCGGCACGTGTGGTAGTGTAGCGCATGTAAGTGTGTGTAAGGATAAGGG